TGTTTCTTCTCCCGCTTCACCTTACCCTTCCTCCGAGTTCATTTGAGTAGTTTCTCTTGTAAGTATGTATATAAACCACCTGAAGCCCTTCAAATTGTGATGAAGAAAAGCAGCCTAATTTATGTGTTGCCTTTCTGCTATTACAAATACCTATTTAAACAATGGTGGAGAAGGAACAGAATCCCTTGAATAGAGAAAGGAAAACAAAAACCATTTCACTTTGTTTCTCTTTACACTCTGTGGCAGTTGAGCTTTCTTTTGACAATGGCATCCAAGATTTCTAGGTCACAATGTACCACGTGAGAACATACTGCACGCCACACAGGAACTGGTTTCTCTTGAGTACACAGTATGCTGTAATTCTTTTTCTGTTATTTACAACTCAGTGGCATTTCTGTGTTTCTGAAATTAACTAAAATGTGATGTCTGAATAGCTCCAAAATTTCAGGAAAGATTCTAGCCATCAGTTGGCAAAGCCCTCTGGGTTTTGGTGGAACAGAAACCAGAAGAGTCAAATAGGATCATATGGAGCCCCTTCTACCTGGTTTGCAATCAGTTGATATCAGCCACACTTCCTAGTATAACAATAGCCACTTCCTCAGGGCATATTAGCCCAGGTGGGTTGCCAAATGAATGTGACAGTACTGCTGTCGGCAGCCATTCAGTGTAAGAGACCTGGTTATTTATGCATGGCACTGCTTTGTTCTGTCCAGACATACCCACAACTTTTACATTTTTAAAATTATAGCTAAGTCCCTATTTCTTTGGAAACGCTCTCTTTTTTTTTTTTAAAACATATTAGGCTTATGCAGGTACTATTGATATAAACATGGTCTTAACACTTGGTCTGAACCCAAGCCTACTTATTCTAAGCCAGGACTTGAATCTTGCTTAACACTAATCCTTAATACTACTTTGCATGTTGTTTATATGGAATGTATGTTAGAAGTAAGAAGAAAGGATATCTAATTCATAGATTCTAATGGATCAGAAAGAAATGTGACAAAATAGCAACACTTCACTAAAACCTTTTGCTATAATCCTGCTGAACAAATCAGTCCAATCACATGCCAGAATGCCAGCCTCTACCACCTCTGAGCCCAGGATCATAAATAGACTGTCAAAATATGGTCTTCCAGCTGGCAGAACAATTCACTGCTGCTGGCATTAGAAGTGCATTTGAGGCAGAGCTTCCAAAAGGGGTCTTGTAAGTCTATGAGTGCTGCCTGATTGGCTTAGCATTAGAATCCTGCTAGCTGTTTTCTGATGGGTCAGCAGAAGGTACTTGGAGCATTCTGTCAGGGTAGTGTTTACAGTGTCACAGAGATCTACAGCAAATAATTAAATGGAGAAATACAATGTAATGTGGCAGGCTTGCCGGTAGCAGCCCGGCTTGCCAGCTTGAGCCAGAAGGTTCAAAACAATAGGTGGGTGCATTTCTCCTCCCTATCAATCAGGAAAGGGAAGGAGAGAGGCTTGCCCTGTCTCAACCTAGGGGCGAGGTGAAGAGGAGGACCTCAGGGGGAACTAACCCCTCAGGCTTTCCTATTGGTCCACTCCCAATCCAGGGCATAGCCTTCTGAAAGAATAAAAGGGCAGCGTGCTCAGCACGCGGGGAGCTTTGATGAGGGACAGTGAAGAAGGACTGAGAGGTGCTGGTTGATGAGACCAGTGGGGCAGAGCAGTTGCCCCAGAAGTGCCCTGAAAATGCCTTCATCGAATGCAGAGCAGCAAGCGGCTGCAGCCCTTCCCTGCTGTGGAGGGAGCCACGGGGTGGTGCACAGGTTGGTTCATGGAGGATCCAGAAGCAGATGGGACCTCAGCAGCTGCCTGAGGTAGCTTGGGTCTCCAACCCCGCGTCAGGCAGGAGCCAAGCCCCATTCAGTGCAGGGGCGGGTGCACAGGGGCTGGAGAGCCTGGTGCACAGGTCAGGACATGGAGGGTTTGGGAACTGACGAGACCATGGTAGCTGCACAAGGCAGAATGGGTCTCCAGCCTTGCGTGAGGCAGGAGCTGAACCCCATTTGGTGCATGGAGTGGTGCATGGGGGCTGATAGTGCTGAAAAGGACCACGGCAGTTGCATGAGGCCTTACAGACCTTCAGCCCTGCACGAGACCGGAGCAGGGCCATTGGTGCACAGAGCGATACACAGGGCTGTAGAGCAGATGGGATGCCACGAACTGTGTTGTGAGTTACCTGAGAAGGGGATTCCCACAGGAGAGGAGGCACATGCTACTGGCAGCTGCGGGAAAGCCCATGATGGGAGGGAGCAATTTGCCCTGGGGTGTAGAAAGGGACCCAAGGCTCCTGCTTGTCATGGGGGTTCTGAGGTGAAGGGTCCCACTAGCTGAGTAACCTAAGTGAGGGTAAGGGTGTCCTATGATGTGATGGGGTGCCTGCTTGGGTTGCCATTTCTTTGCTGGGCACAGCTGTTGTGCCACTGTTGTGTTCTGTTCTTTCATGCTGCTGGGATTCCTGTTGTAATCCTGCACCTTTATTATTGTATTGGAAGAGGAGTTTAAGCTGCCCTGTGTTGATATTTATGGCATTGATTATTTCATGCAAGTGCATTCTGTTTGATGTAACCTTATTGTATATGTTTATATTTTGTCCTATCTTTGTCAGATATTTTTGTCATTGGTTTGTAATGGTTACTTTTAGGTATGTATGTTTTATTTGAAGTAACCTTATTGCATATGTTTAATTATTGACACTTCACTGCCTGTTATTCTTGCTATTGTTCTGTTGAGTAACCTCTGTTTACCTTTGAGTGCCCTCCTTCCCCTGTGGCCTGGAGGGCCCTAAATAGGGGCAGGGGCTGCAGACTAACTTGAAGGCCACTGGGAATCAGGCCTAGGCTTGAGTTTCAGGGTTAATTACAGCTTTTATTTGGGTAAATTCGTATCTGTAAATAGCCTGTGTGCACATGTGCATACAATGATCAATATATGTACATACGTGTGTATGTGTGTGTATATGTATGTATGTATGAAGGTTTGGGGTTATAAGTTGTGTATTATTTTGTAATATTAAACCTGTACATAGTTAAGAAGCACAGTTTCTCCTGGTCTGCTCTGCTTGGTAGGGAAAGAGGTGAGCTGGCCTACAGCTAGGCAGCCATGCTCCCTACAGTATACACACTCCTGCTAACATCCCTTCCATTTGAAGAGAGGTTACCTCCCACGTACCACCCAGGTTACAGTAAGAAAGACTGGAAGACTGGCATATGAAACTGAACTGTGATGTAAGCATTTGTTGTGCTGTGGAACATATCAGTAAGGTACCAGTGCTCTATAGGAATACAGATTAAGTCTGGCATTCTTGCGTAGTTTTTCTTGCAAGTGAGTTGGCTGTGTCCATTTAGGAGAAAAACTGACTTAACCCCAACATTTAATGAGATATTTTATTAACTATACAGAGAGAACCGCATGCAATTTTCATGAGTTTTTTGTTTAGTCTGTAGAGGATAATTTCTATGAAATGCTTGACCTTCCATTTCAAATGAGTTTCATCATAATGTTTCAATTTGTAATTTTAAAGGCAGACTAGAAAATTGAGCACCTATACACCTATACATTAAGGTATGCACTGTAATTACAGCATGTTGGAGCAGACTGAATTAATAGAGTCTGCTGGAGTGTGGTAATTACTGCACTACAGTAGACTCCAGTGTCATGTGTATCATCATCCCCACGCTGAAAAATGATGACGGGGGCGCTTTAACCAAAGCTTGTTTCTCTGGGCACTTTAATTAGAGTGGCTCTCTGAGCGCCTCCTGGAGCACATGTATATATGCCCACTTGTTTCTAGACTTAAACTGTTTTGAAAGGGCCAAGTTCTGAGAGAGAGTCTCCCCTCCATTTCCATCAAAGTTTTTTGCCATCTCAGAGGATGGAGTCGAAATGGTTTGTTAAGATTAATTTGAAAATAATTTTTACAGTATTTGTATAATGGTAGACACAAGTCTGCTCTGTAAGGGTAAACAGCTAATTCTTGCCACCTTTCTTGCTGATACTATAAATACAAGCATTTCGATTCATCATTATGTTACTCTAGAGTGACACTAGTATGTGTGATTCTCTGGGCTCTTAACGACTCTTTCGTGCCCATAGGAAGTTCATTGCAGAGTTCAGGTAGGTGTACTTATTTCTAAGGTTTTTAAAATCCATAGTGATATTTTAGCAGAACAGTATTTAAATGTGGGAAGTCTCAAGTCCACAGGGCATGAGAGAGGACAGCCCTCCCAGAAGAAGGATTTCACACTCGGGCAGTCTGTAGGGTACAAGTCAACCCATTCAAATGTAGACGCCCTATTCTAGTTCTGTGTGCTTGTCTGGAACTAGAAGTAGCATAGCTGCATTAGAAGCAGAGTTTATTGGCCTTAATGCACCACCACACTAATACATTGAAGTTGCTGTCAGTTCTGGCACCAGCATATACAGGCTTAGTTTGGGTATTTCTGCATAGTACTTTTTAGACATTCCCTACACGTGTGTTTGTGGAGCATATTACCAGTTTTGGGGAAGGACTGAGTGTGTTTTGAGTGGGCTGTTACCAGATTTTCTTGCACGTAACGCAGCCCAGAGTAAGATAACGTACCTTGTTTTAGAAAGGCAGAATGAAGGGAAAAAGATCTTTCGTAAGTAATTACGTAGCAGCATCTGGGGAGACAAACCTGCTCATTGTTCTGCTCCTTGTGGTTTGTGTTCAGACTGTACTTTCGCTTTAACCCAGTAAGCAGCAGAAATTGATCCTTACCACATTTCCTCACATATAATGCACACTCCATCTTCCAGCAGCTGTCTTTAAAAAAAAAAAAATGCATGTGTTGTATGTCATAAAATATAGAATTCTTCATAGGGTTGCACTAGAGTAACAGTATATTTATGCCAGCAGTGAATGAGGGGAAAAAAACATTCCAGAATTACAGCTTTGTAACAAAAACTAAGTGGCTTGTTAAGAATATTTCTGGTAACTTGTATTTGTATTCTGTTTACAGTGTCAGCCAAACCAAGGCCTCATAGTGATGAATATACAAAGAAGATTCCACCTCCTAAGCCGAAACGAAATCCGAACACTCAACTAAGCACATCTTTTGATGAAACGTACATTAAAAAGCATGGCCCGATGAAGACACCACTCACTAGGGATGCCTCCTTATTGCAGGTCAGCAGTCCTGCCCCAGACACAGAGGAAGAAGAGCCTGTTTATATTGAAATGGTTGGGAACATACTAAGGGACTTCAAAAAAGATGAGGATGACCAAAGTGAAGCAGTCTATGAGGAGATGAAATATCCTATATTTGATGATGTAGGCCAAGATTCAAAGTGTCAATGTGAATATGACCATCACACTTGTTCTTCTCAGTGTGCTACTCCCACAGTGCCTGACCTAGATTTCACCAAGTCCTCAGTGCCATCTACTCCCAAGGGCTTGCTTTGTGATATCCCCCCACCATTTCCAAATCTGCTTTCTCACAGACCTCCACTGCTGGTGTTCCCACCAGCACCAGTTCAGTGTTCCCCAAATTCTGATGAGTCTCCTCTAACTCCTCTAGAGGTCACAAAGCTTCCTGTGTTAGAAAATGTGTCTTACATAAAACAACAAGCTGGAGCATCTCCATCTTCACTGCCACCCCATACACCGGGTCATCAAAAACTGGAAAAAGACCAGACAGTATCTCATGGAATTACCACTCCTGGGCACTCTTCTTCACCTCCACATCCTTCTACCCTGTACAGAACACAGTCTCCACATGGCTACCCTAAAAGTCACTCTGCCTCACCCTCTCCCGTCAGTATGGGTAGGTCGCTTACCCCCTTAAGCCTCAAAAGACCTCCACCTTATGACTCTGTACATTCAGGAAGTCTCTCAAGAAGCTCTCCATCAGTGCCTCATTCTACAGCCAGAAACACATTGCAAGAAGGGGGAAAGATGGTAAATGCCTCGGTTAATACCTACGGGTCATCCTCACAGAGTGGTTCACGTTCTAGAACACCTACCAGTCCTCTAGAGGAATTAACCAGTCTCTTTACCTCAGGACGAAGTTTACTGAGGAAGTCCTCCAGTGGCAGAAGATCTAAAGAACCTGCAGAGAGTAAGTTTTCAGTACAATATCTGTCTGTTTTCTCTACATATTTATAGTTCATGTCATATTTTATTAAATAATATGTGAATTATCACATAACTCAGCAATATGAATGATATATGCCTTAATCCTGCAGTCAGAGGGAAGTTGATTACTGTTGAAAAATGCCTTTAAATGTCATCCTTTTATGCTATATTTTAAGGTTTCAAAACTCCTGAAACTGAATTATGAGGCTTGCAAACAGAAATATAAGTTATTTAAGGCCCAGTGCTACAAAGCCTCCATTGTGGTGGTAAGTGCTGTCTACTGCCATTGGGTCCTGTGAGTTGGAAACAATAGCCCATAAAATCGGACATGACAATACTTAAATACTGTTAGGACTAGTAAACATCCAAAATAATCTTGTGGCACACTGTTTCCTGACTGAAAGCCCTGTACCACAGAGTTCCCATTAGCTTCAGTGGGCACTGAATGCTTTCAGCCACTTGTAGTAGCAACCTGTAATGTTTACTGTACTCAACAATAGATTCACAGCTGTGAGTAAAAGTGGAGTGTGGCACTGATACTAATATCTCCAACTATCTTTCAAATTCAGTGAAGCTATTAGAGTGTGTCTTAGCATGGAATTTGCCCGTAAGCCTTTATAGCTGAGAAAAGTAAGTAAACATGATATGCTTTTTTCTGTAGGTCTAATAAAAAATCAGTTTGTCTTTGAAGTTTTGGAGCCTGCATACCTCAAACGCTCTTTATTTGAGAATACGTGATTTTTCTAGCACTGTATTTTATGCTTGTACTAGCAATATATTATAACTTTTTGGCAGAGATATAACATAAAAAGCCATCATGTGCCAAATTCTGCACAAATTTATGCTGCACTGATAAAGGATGGTATTTCTGTCTCCAGGCTACCAAATTGTTATAGAGAGATGAGGTCAGGTTCAGTACTGACTCATACTCACTGTATTCACTCAAGTAAAGGGACTGATCCTCCCCTTACTTACCATAGTTTTACACTCCCTAACAATTATTTTTCACCTGTCTTTGGGCTTGCTTCTCCACTGATACATGTTAGTGCAACTTGGCAGTAACTCCATTGGCATGGACATAAACCAATGCAGGGAAGAAAGAATTAAACTCATCATGTACATGCACTCTGTTCATCCTCTGCAAGTCAATGAAGCCTTTGGTCAAATTTATCTTTAATCATTTGGCAGCCTGAAGACCTAATACTATTATATAAAAGCTTAATTCCATGATTCACTAGTTTTGACATAAATAATTACAGTAATAAAAATGCAACAACACCAGATTTGAGTGTGGGATGGAAGCAAACAGGTCTAAAATGAGAGAGAATTTTTCTAATAAGGGACAATTGTGAAGTATGTTATGCGACATTTGGGAATAATTGAAGTGGTAGAGTAATGGTAAAGTACAGATGGCAATAAACATTATTAAACACACTACTTGCTGATAAGCAAATAGAACTCTCCTTCCAATTATGTGCTGTGCCAACATCATCCAAGGCATTTAATAAAATTGTAAGATTCCATTGCTCCACATGAAAGAACCCTTAGGAACTTTTAGAAAATCCCAGGATGAACATGACATTAGTTTGAGTCTGTGAAATCCCAGGTTACTTTTATGCTGCCTCTTCAAAGGTGACCCCCAAAATAAATTGTCTATATTCCACTTGACCAAATTTGACTGCAGACTATCAAGAGGCATTTCAAAATGTAAAGTAAATCTTGTGTTCCAAATCTTTACAAAACAGCTTTTCTAAAATTGGCAGCTGAAGGATCATTTGGCTTGTTCTTGTAGGTAGAGAAAAAGATGCTTGTGTTTGGCCATTAGTGCTGGGGAAGAAGGGTAAAACAGAAACCAAATTCAGTTATTTTATGGCCTTATCAGTCATTTTATCTAAAGAAGCTAATAGCAAAAACTTTTCAGTGCAGCTGTGCAGGAGAAGTAAACAGATTGTCAATCCGATTTTACTTTAGTTTGTCTGGTATTTATAGTGTAGTTTAATCTTTTTGGATTACCACAGTAGGCAAGAATTGGGTTTGTACTCAAATACTATGGTGACAGAAGTTACTGTAGGATGACTTGAAAACAAGTACAGGATCAGCATTCTCTCTTCTGTAATTGTACAAAAAAGATCCATGATAACACATTTATAGTAAATTGTGGGGTATGAAAGAATAATCTGACGAAGCTTCTACATTCTGTGGTGTGTAATAACACACAGTGGAAGCCCGTGTAGACTAGACTAATCATGAGATGTACTTAATGCCTTATTCATACAAGTCATGCAGGAAGCCAGTGGGTGTTGCACAGTTTTGAATCAGAATCTAATAGTCTATGTTTTTTTGGAACGGGAGGAAAGCAGATGCAGTATGACAAACCAGACCAAGCATTCTCAGTTTAGTGTCCTTTAGTCTGAGCATAAAACAAAATGCGTGGAAACCAGACAGCAATGAGCAACAGGGCTGACCCTAGAGGGGTGTGGAGCTCAGGGCAAATCAGCCTCTGCAGGGCCCCCTTTATATTTTTATATAATTAAAAAAGTTTATATAACTAAAAAGAACCTCACCGATCACGATCAGTGTTGCGTTACCTACATTCTGATATCCACTGGAAGGGCGAGGGCAGGGCTGCAGTTCCTGACTCAGTACTCACTGGTTGTGGGGCCAGGGCCAGGAGAGCCAGGTGGCACAGGCTGCAGAGTGGGATGGAGGCAGCAGCCCTTGCCCTGGTGCTGAGAGTGCTGCCACTGGCACAGCCTGCCCCAGGGGGCCACCCGCAGTGTGCGGCAGCTGAGGTAAGAACCGCACCAGGTGGGCCAGGCTTGGTCGGGGACACCCTTGCAGTGGGGGGCCCTGAGCCAAGCCAAGCCAAGCCGCAGTGCCTGGTGCCTAGTAGCCTTGCAGGGGCTCTGGGCCACGCTGTGCCACAGAGTGGGTGCTAGATAGTGCCTCTGCTGCAGCCCTCAGAGCCAGGCCACTGACCCTTCCTGTGGGGTGCTGCTAGCCCCTGCCAGGGGCTGGATTGGCATTTTCTGCACCCTGTGGGGGGCTTTAGAACAGGGGGTTTGCGGGGCGCTGCATGGGTCCAGCCCCAACAGCTGGCTTGGGCTCTGGCTCCAGCTTTCTGACTTTGAAGTATGGGGCCCCCTAAAGTGCGGGGCCCAGGGCAGTTGCCCTGATTTGCTGTACCCTAGGAATGGCCCTGATGAGCAAAAAACCAAAAGGAGAGTTATGTTCCTCGTATTTCATTAGAGGTAGGAAATATGGAACTTCAAAATTATTCTGGGCACAGTTCAGGCAAGATTTTCTTGAAGCCTGAAAGACCTGTTTATGACCTGTTTGAATTATTCACTACCACGTGCAAATTAAAAAAGAAAGAGTATGATACAGTATCTAGGATTCAACCTGAGTGTACTTGCAATGTACTGTGACAAGTATGGAGAAAATTAATCTCTCAGCTATAGGGTGACTACTGTTGCTGACTTCTGTGGGGATTGTGGTCATAGTTTTAAAAGCCGAACTTTTCTTCGGCCCTTATCCTCTCTCTGCTTTTTTGGTTGTTCAGTGCATCTCTGGCTTGAGCACAAAAGTGATGAATGGGTACAGCAGTACTTTAGTTACCTACTATTATTCTTCTTTGTTAAAATGAGACCAATTCAACCATTTTATCTTTAAAACTCCTGGTAAGCCAGAAACCGTATAGGATCATGGAAGAATAAAAATGGAAGCAATTGCACCTGCATATGTCAATTTGAGATAGATTTGATTTGGTACTAATTATTTTTCTAGGTCAGATAATGGCTAGAGTTGACAGAAAATTTCAGTAGTATCTCATGGCAAATTCTGACATTTCAACTTTTTTTATCCTAAATTAGCATAAAATATCAAGGTACTAAAATTTTTCATGGCAACAGATGTAATTGGAGAACAAAAATATTTATTTGAAGTGTGTTCAACATTAAACTAGTCCTCACTGAAATGCTGCAGTAGTTCACAGGAGCTTTAGATTAAATGTTTAATTTCACTGTTGTCCCTTGTGGCTGCACTCCTCAATGGAACATACCCCTAGGTGGTATAGGACTTCCAACAAGCTCCACAGGTGCTCAGCCAGTGGGAGAAAATTGTCGGTCATAAGAACATTGTCTGTGCATTGGGAATGTGGAGAAGCCATCTTGAAGAATTGCTAGGGTTTATTTTCTTTTTGTTGAAATAGAAGTGCTTCTTGAAAGTATACTTTTTTGGTCCTATATGTCTTACTCCTATTAACTCCCATAAATATAAGGTATAGGTAGGTATTTCTCAAAGTCCTTGGTGAAATAGTTTAGTCCCTTTACTATCAATTCAGTTTAGTTCAGAACTATCACATCAACCCACTTACATCCTTTAAAATCCCCACGTGTCAACCGTTTGTGTGTGAACATAAGTGTAGATATGTATATACACTTTAAAATTAAAAGGAAGAAATCCATTAAAGGAGTGAGGAAAAATATAGCAATGCATTCCAAAGCAATGCATTCCAAATAATAGTAGAACTAATTTTATAATGAAAAAGTCAAATTCAGTAGTAGATTTCAAGCATTATTTCAAGCAGCTACATTAGGGCCAACATTTTCAACTTCAGATCTCTAAGCACCTAATTACAAGTGGCTTAATTATTCAGGGTGTTGATTACCCATAAATCCACTGAAGTCCCTCTCAAAGAGAAGTTGCTCAGCATCTTTAAAAATTACGCTAAAAATTAGATGCCTCTTAAGTCTAGGCCAGTGATTCTCACCTAGGGTGCCACACAATGTTGGCACTATTAGGTTTGGAAACATGATTTACAAGTTAAACCCAAGAACTTGAAATAGAAATCCATAATCATGGTATTTCTGAGTTCTTCACAACAGAAAAAAACCCCCAAACTTCTCTATCATTTTTCTGTAGTCAAAAAAAAAGAAAAAGAAAACTAAGAGCTGGCGTTTTCTAAGTGGTGGTGCAAGTCTA